AAGATGCTGCAGCTCAGCGGTTCTCGTGGACAAAATGACTTGGCGCTTACGTCGGCGTGTCAGCATGATCACACTGAGAACATATCAAGTGGCTAATTAGAGCTAAAACCAAAGTCCAGCTGAGTCTGAGGGGAATGTCATTTTTATTGTAAGTTATATTTTGTGGTCTTGTTTTTAAGAGGGGCGGCACAGTGGAACAGTGTTTTGAACGGTCGCCTCTCAGCAAAAATGGTTGCAGGTTTGCCTTCAGCCTGGGGCCTTTCTGCGGTTTCAAACACTCATAGAGATTAATGCAAACGCTACTTTATAAACCTTGTAAATGTATTAATATTTGGTTATTTACATATAACTTTGTTTGCATTTAGCATCAACTGTATATATAATCCTTCCAGTGCAACCTGGGGCACTTCGAACAGGAATATAATATCGTTTCTGTTAAAATAACCATCCATTAATGCATGTTCTTTATCCTCCTTTTTCCTTTCTATGTCACAGAGGAGCCGGTGTCTATCTCCAGCATTGTGCAAGAGGTGGGTTCACAGGGTGCAAGTCCATCCTGGGATCACATAAAGACAAACCAGACAGACAACCAGTTACACCCCCCCTTACACGTAGGCAGAAGCTGTCTTAACAAACCTATAATGTAAGACATAAATATTTACAACACAGTGTTGCTGCTTTAAAAAAACTCGATTTATTTGTGACAGCAGTGATCCACTTTGGTCTTGGCCCTGTTTATTTGTCTGTCTGGTAAGTTTTAAACTATGTCTCTGAACTGGAGTTATTCAAAGTGCTATCTACAGCAGGTTAGATATTAATTGTGCATAACCTTTTTACACAACCCTGCCTTAAAAGATTTGAACCGTGGTTTTATTACGATTGCCTGTTTAGTAATGAGGAGGTATTTCTGTTGCACCTAAAAACAGGAGTGCAATAGAGAGATCAATGATGTCAAAACATCTAGAAGTGTCCAGATGTGTTTCTCTGTAGGATATGTGTGGACTGGGATTATTTAAAGCAAATGCAGTCTATCAGATTTGTGTTTGCAGTGCTTTGAAACCAAGTGAGCATTGTATACTTCTGGTTATGTTTGATTTTGTGGTTTTCTGCAGTTTTTGCAGACGCCTGGGTCTAACCCTTTCCTGCTGCTTCTGAAGGCCCTGCTGTTGTTTTGCAGAGATGTTTGGGCGGCACATGTCACAGTAATGTTCATGTGAATGCCAGGATGCAGGACTTTCTAAGTAAAATGTTACTTCATAACAAATGAGTGTGTTCGTTTGGCTGCTCCCTCCTGCAGAGGTCATCCAGCGAGTATCTTGCATGAAATACATGTTTTTTGTAATGTTTTATAAACTCGTGTTAAATGGAAATATAAAACGTGTTTTGTGTTTCAAGCTAACTGAAGACAGAAACACTAATATCCTGTCCAGGACTGTACGTTTCAAGACATTTGTGTAACTCTTCACACTTTTCTTTAACCAGAAATGATGAAGCAGAGGATTATCTGACTCGCGTTGTCTTTGTGTACAGTACGTGCAGCTTCATCGCTATTTGAGAGAAAAACAAGTAATCCCGAAGGACACAAACACAGAGCACTGGAGCCTCCTGGGCAATACAGTTAAAATTTCCCACTCTTGTCATAAAGCCTGTAAAGTAAACGCACGTGATGAGGGGGAAACAACAGAAAAATCAATCGTGCTTCATACTTGGATAGCACCCGCTCAGCACATGTACACCTTCTCGTACAAATACAGACACATATTATCCGTTGACTGTAAATTACCATCCTGAACTTCAGGCTTGGGGTCTTCTCACAACAGAGCAAAGTGTTATTCCCAGTCCCCCTCTGTATCTTAAACGTCTGCTGAGTTTATGTTTGCGTTGGCACGGCTGCCTGTGTGTGACGATCTGCTCACCAAGTTTCACTGAGCTGTCACCAAAGGTATGTGTGACGAAACGGGAATCTTCTGGGGTTATACCATCGTGTCTGAAAACCCTGAACCCTCAGCAAAGGACAACTCCCCTGAGGATAGATTTAGTAAAACTAAAAACGGTGTCCCCCTCAGTCGGACAGCATCTGACCCATGTCACACATGGTTAGACAAACCAGTCATTCAGCTGCTGCACTGCCACCTGAATTAGCCAATCAGCAGCCTCGCCACGTCCACCGTCAGCACCGACAAACAGTCTTTACAGTAACAGTTTAGATGACGTGACCTGGTGGGTGGAGGTGCTGATGAGTCTGTGGTGTTTCTGATTCTATGTATCCACGCTGACTTTCATGTCTCACACTGACTTATGGGACTGTGACATCTTTCCTACCAGCATGTCCACTTACAGTTTCAAGACTCATGAAGCCTTTGAAATGATGAGAATACTGAGATAAAAGTTTTCAAGTAAATTCTGTTGGCTGTTCTACTCTTAGCCAAGTTGGTAATTACATTTTAACAGACATTAAAATGGGATCATTCAAATCTTTCAAAAAGGAGTTCTTCATCTACAATTAATATCACTATATCAGTTTGGAGAAACAGCCTTTAATTCTGGCCTAAATGATGAACTAAAGTACCGTATTTTCTGGCGTATAAGTCACATCAGTCAAAAATAGCATCATGAAGAGGAAAAAAACATATAAGTCACTTCAGCGTATGTCGCATTTATTATTTATTTATTTAATGGTCAAAACAGATTCATTTCGCCTGGGTGGCACGGCGCCATCCATCCATCCATCCATCGTGGCCGGAGCCACTAGGTCTCCAGCGTTCCTCCGCCTGCACCGGCTGAGTGAAGCAAGCACACACAGGAAGACTTGCTGTTGCAGTTCTTAGAAATTTAAAGCATCTGTCAAAAATTGCATTATGAATATGGAAAAAACGTATATAAGTCGCTTCGGCATATAAGTTGCAGGACTAACAAACAACTGCGACTTATACGTCGGAAAATACGGTAGTCAAACGGCATCAAGGCCAAAGTCGATTACCGCTGCCTTACAACTCCGGGGTCAAAAGTTTTCTAGCATTTGCTCAAACCTTGTTTTATATATCTTAGCAGTATATCATGATGTTCCTGCTAAACGTGCTACAGTCTGCCCTGGAAGTGTTGCAGCTTTGCGTTAGTATTTTCTTACTTTCAAGTCTGTGAAGATCTCTAGACTGAGTGCAAGTGAGTTCAGCTGACCCGCTGGGAAGACAACAGATTGGTGTATCAACACAGACTGTATTTTTTCTTCTTCTTCAGTCATGTTGACATGTTTATAGTATTAACACGGTAAGTCCACCTTAAAGACGCGTTGCCCTCTAGACAAATGGGAAAGTCATGAAACTTTCCTTTAACATGATTTTAGATAAAGTTTGACCCCAAGTAGCAGACTGAGAAATAGACAGGAATACAAAAAGAAAGTATTTATTTACAGGTGAGGATCTCAGAGCTGAAAGAGCAAAAAGGGACAAGGTGAGTAATCTTGAATGTCTTCAGGTTTTAACCGTATGATAATATTTAGTTTGAGAACAGTCTGTTCTTACAGATGTGGTCTTTTGCAGATGGAGCCAGAGAGGGTGAGAGGTGAGGTCCTTCCACAGATGAGCCTTGATGCAGAGGAGGTGAGTAAAGGTGGAGCGTTTATCCAGACTGTGGCTTTATGATGTTCATGGGACACGATCAGGATGAGGTGAAGTCACAAGGAACAAAGACGTGCAGGTTTTCAGGACTTGGAAGTCACTGTAGGAGATCTTTCCAGAGGCATCAAAGTTCATGTTCAGTAATCCAGGTAAAAACAATCCAACACAGGTAAGTCAGGTCCTCTGGGCGGTTTCTTTGTGTTGAAATGTTTCATCCTTCATCCAAAGGACTTCGTCAGTCCGAGGAGCTGCGACAAACTCAGCCCCACAAGTAGCACACGTGGGCCCAGTTTGATGGTGATAAGATGGTTCCTGGAGTCCTCCCTCTCCCCCATCGACTCCTCTGAGGCAGCCATTGTCAAAGTGGTTCAAAACAAAGTGGTTCATGCTCAACAATCCAGGTAAAAAAATCCAGCACAAAAAGGGATTTCGCCCAACTTTGTGGACTCGTTCTTTGGATGAAACATTTCAACACGAAGAAACTGTCCAGAGGACCTGGGATTTTTTAACCTTGATTAATGAGCATGAACTTTGATGTTTTGGACCACAGGCTGTGGCAGTTGAACTTTGGCAATGGCTGCCTCAGAGGAGTCGATGGGGGAGAGAGCGGACTCCAGAAACCATCTTATCACCATCAAACTGGTTGGCCCACTATGTGGTTGTGCTGCTTGTGGGACTGAGTTTGTTGTGGCTCCTCGGACTGATGAAGTCCTTTTGGACGACGGATGAAATGTTTCAACACAAAGAAACCATCCAGAGGACCTGGTTTAACTTTGTTGGATTCTAGAGACTGGTTTAGTGGCTGTCCATTACCTTTACCATAACGTATGATAACGTCCCAGTGCTGGAGGAACGTCTGGCAGCAGCACTGATGCTCAGCAGAGCATCCTCCAAGTCAGGTGCAGGTGTGGAGTGGTGGCTGATTGTGATGAACGGCAGCTGTGGAGAAAGTGAATGTGGCTGGCAAACCTAGAACTCCCACATCCTTATGCTCATAATTTGTTTAAACAAACAAAACAAATTTGACCTAAATAGTTGGTTAGTTTATTTTATTAATTTATTTATTTTTCATCCATTTTTCTTTGTCGGTGTGTACTACATGTGTTTTCTAACCCAGCTCGTTTAAAGCCTGCATACTGTCTTTCCACAGGTTTGTTGTGAGGGGCTGAAACCATGACTGAGAGGGAAGAAGAGGGATGGGAGGGACCTGACGGGCGCGGAGCGTATGGGGAGAGAGAAACGAGGGGGTGAGCTGCTATATAAGACACGGCTGGAGCTGTTTGTGGCATAAGCTCCAGCAAACTGAGACAAAACGAGAGCAACAAACAAGCCGAGGGTGGAGGAGCTGGCAAAGGGAACGTGAAGGTTTTTATTTCCAGGCTGGTTTTCCTCAGTGTGCCTGAGAGCTCAGGGATTTTCTGCCCTGGTTTTTGACTTAGACTTTGGATGGACGCTTGCTTTGTGGCTCCTGAGATATTTTTCCTTTGCAGAAGACAAGGCTCCTGAAAGATCTCTGAAAGCCAAGCTGGTGGCTGCAGGGATAAACAAAAGTCTTCTTACGTTTTATTAAAATTAAATAAAATTTTACTTCTGTTCTGCCATGGCTGCTGTGCGTCAGATGACCGTGGAGGCCTCTGGTTTCCACGTCCTTCCTGCCCACCTTATGGCCACTGCCATGGAGGAGTTCCCCCAGCAGCTACCCGTCCCCAAGGACCTAACAAAGGGCAAGAGCCGCTCCCGCCGACCTCGTGAGGCTCGTTTCAAAACCCAGCCCGTCACCTTCGCCGAGATCGCAGAGGTGGAGGAGGAAGGCTCGTCCCCCCTGGAAGAGGAAAGGGCTCGTCGCTCCTTCTTACAGTCGTTGGAGAACCTGCGGCGGAGCACCCAGACCCTCCACTGCTCACCAGGCGCCCATCGCAGCTGCACCCCCACACAAGCCAGCCTGGACTCCAGTGACTCGGACTCCACCCAGTGAGATGTTTTGCACACCTGCCTCCTGGCTCTGATGTTCCTCACTCTACCTTAATGACATTTCAGACGGAGGTCAACCAAACAGAACTCAAGTGTCCTTCACCCCCAGCCTGCCTGTAAACTGCTGCTGCGTTTATCTCACTAACATCTGGAAGATGCACTTCATGTGTTCAGCCAGATACCTTGTGCCACAGGCTAGTTTCACAGCTGTACAGAACTGATGTGTAAAGGTAGAAGACGATGTTCTGTCCGAACCTATTCCTTTTCCACTGTAGCTGTTTAAAGAGCACAGGTATTTTTTTTCATTTTGAAAATGTAAGGCTCCTCTTGCTTCAACTCAGATTTTTCTACTTGACCACTAATGACTGAAAGAACTGTTGGAAGTGAGGGCGATAAAGAGAAACATTTAAAGTGACCGGGCCAGCACTGAAGTTGTGCCACGACAAAGGTTCAAGAGTCTCGACTCTTGTTTTATAAGAAATACGAGCTCCTGCTTTAACTTCTGATTGCCTTTCCAAATGTCTTTTTATTTTGTATGTATTTATTTTCGTTTCATTCTTTTTCATAACCACGTGAAGTTTATTAGATGTAATATATTATTTGACTTTTTGACACGACTTAAAAAAAACTGATAACCTTTGTACTTTATGGTTATTCCACTTTGTATTTGTTTTATGTTCGATGAGTGTACTTTAATAAATATTTTCAAATGTATGAAATAATTTTCTGTTTTCCATATTTCTGATATGTGCACTTTTTACACAAAGTTTTAGACACTGACACTTTTGCTCCTGCTGAAAACTTTAATTTTGAAGTTATGGTAGACAGTGTTGTTTCATAGTGTTCATGTAACCGACCCAAGAAGTGAATTTAATTTGAAAATAACATTTAAATTAAAGATACAGGAAGAGATGGAGTCAGTCGGCCGTTCATCACCAGTATTATTGTTGTGATAAACTCATTTCTGTCTCGTGTTTACAGTCAAAGCTCAACCTGCAGCTGCTGCTTAGGTGGTGACGCACTTTCACTAATGTCCAGTTTCCACCAGTCACCTCAGCCACAACTCCCGCCTGCTGTATAACGTGCCTCACAGACAGCTGCTGCAACTCCTCTTGCTAATGACCCTCCTCCTAATCCACACGGTGTCAGGTGAGACGCAAGAACTTTCACCTGAGAACAACTCGGCAGCTTGTTGCTGATGGAGAGGTTATACTTTAAGGGCCTTAACTGAGAATCTGCTTGGACTGCATGCAACTCAAGGAAAAATATATTCTGATTCAACTGATTTTGGTGGACCCAATTTGAAATAATGACTTTAATTAATTGTACACAGTTCACGTGCCCTGTCCCAGTGTTTTCCAGGACTGAACCTACAACTGCAGACACACAAGGGAGACAAACATTTCTCAAGGATTCTTATGGGAGAGGCTGTAAGGAAGCACATCTGGGCAGCTGCTACGCAGTGATACATATTGTATCATATATTGATATTAATTACAATGATCTTAAAGCATTAAAAGGATTATAAGGTTATTTAATATACAGGAGAATAATAGAGCTTGGCGCATGCATATACTATATATATGTATATATATATATATATAT